AGCCAGCCCTAGCTAGGAGCCCAGTTTACTTTATGTTATGGCCTGACTATAGACCCAGAGAGACATGCATGCTACTGGCTGTAACACTGTTACCTCTCAGTGCTCTTTCTGTTACACCCCACAGGGGGGCGCATTTCAGAAGCAGATCCATCCATTTCTGTGCCGATACAGACCAGATGATTCCTGCTGGGGCCTCTGTGAACATGAAGGGTAAGTAGATACATAAATAAATACACAATATCTGGCACTCAAACTGACACTAGGTCTCCATTCTGTTATGTGTGATGTTATAGTGACCTGCGTACATCACTGAACGCCATTTCTGTCTTGTCTTACATTTACTGTGCCTGAGTCATTATTCCGCTCCTCATGTCTGGTACCCACGCCAGAATGCTTATCTATACTGCATAGGAACCCAGGGCTAATTCATGGTTCTGCTTTGGGGCTGTCAGTGAATGCAGATGATTGCGGTGGGTGCTGCATACAGCAGTGATATTCCACCAGACCAGGAGAGGGCAGATGCATAGCAATGAATTCAAATACGATGGAGTTACGTTCCATTAAACCTATCATAAGGCATAAATGCATTTTAATACAGTACACCTAACTTAACAAACATCATAGCCTAGCCAAGCCCACCTTAAAAACATTCTTACAATACTTGCATTAGCCTACACTGGTCAAAATCCTTAATACAAAGCCTATTTCATAATAAAATGTTGAATCTCTCATGCAATATATTGAATAATGTATTGAAAGTGAAAAACATTTACTCATCGTAACCCGGAGGGCATCAGTACAAGCAGTGTAGTGAGACTGGTAAACTTTTGATGAATAGTTTTGAAGTTGTTAGTATAGCCTTGGGCAGTGTTTTCAAATCTGATATCCTTACAAGAAAATGATCTGGGACCCCCTAAAATGCCGGAATCGCGTTGCTTCTGAAAATACCATATACCGTGGTAGAATGTCTGGACAGTATATATAATCTGGACTGTAAAAATGAGATATGCAGATACCTCCACATGTCGTACATTTATTCTTCTCCTGCTCTTTCTTGGCTGACCTCTGCTCTGTGAAGGTCACTGTTATCACCAGCAGCACACACCTAGTCAATGATCCTGGACATGTGCAGTCGACGGTCATGATCTCCGCCAGACAAAGAAATCACGCACCATCTGCAGTCATCCGGCACAAAACCCCTTCAGATGAAATGTACGTCACCTCACCCTGTGCGTGACTGAAAGCAGCAGCCCCCCAAACCCCCCCTCCCTCCCCATGTGGTCTGTAAATACCCCATAAAATTTTTGGTCCCCTTGGTGATCGAAGCCATACTGCCAATTGTCCGTTGATTATAAGTGACTTTGGGCTTTTATTTCTGAAGTCGCTTATAATTTCATTGACTTGCAGGTTACGTTTTTTCGTACTTCTTCTTATTTTGAGGTCGTGGTTTTAGGACTTTTTAACTGAATCCTAATTTTTGTAATAAACCAGATTTATCAATCTAAGATATTCAAATACTACTGACAATTATACTACAGACCCAGTCCATCGCTGATCTAATGATTGACATTAGACATCTGACACAGGCCTTTGGTTTAGGCTGCGTTAACTCGGCTTGGGTAATAATTTCTGCCTGGGATCAATAAAGTTAATAGGGCTGCCTCTAATGACTATTTGTCTATAGATTAATCTATTTTACTGATTGGTCGATTAATCTAAAAGATTAATTTTCCTCCAGAAAATCAAATCGACCATTTAATTTAAGTTCATTTTATTTGACAAGAATAAACTCTATGTTATTTCAGGTCTTTAGGTAATGGAAGCCGGCTTTTCGGCACTATACAACGTTATTGTTGCCTATAATTCAATAAGCAAATTAGTAGTATGCCAAAAATACAGTGGAAATTGCTTATAGTGATCATGTCCGTCTGGGTGAAATTGATCACTGTAAGCCGATGATCATTATTACCGATTTTTATTTTTCTTCTTTAGGTTTCAGGCAGATTACCATCTAATTGACATTTCTATATTTATTACATGACTATGAGGTAATAAAACAGACGACGTCACTATTGATTCACTATTGATTGATTTCAATACAAATTCATACAAATGACTGAACTGTGTATAATCCAAATATGCTATAGCAGAGTACAGCATATAATATTCAATTCAATTTATTTATACAGTGCATTTTCACAACTTTGTGCTTGTTGTATCACTGCTGCGACTCGGTGGCTCGATTTCAGTGGTTTGTCATCAGCCTTGATTAGACTATATTTGTCATTGTGAGGAAAATTACTTTCTTCTTCTCCGTCATGTTTTATATGCACACAGAATTAGCCTCAGGCAACTAGCCAGAAGCAGATGGATCACCGAAAGGCAAAGTAGGATGATCAAAGAAAAAAAAAAAAAGTTTTAATTTTATCCAAGACCCAAAACAAACACTATAAGCGGACTACTTGATTACTATAAGCGAATTATTTAAACAGTATTTGTACAGAAATTATTCTGTCCCAAGCTAATTGATCCATATAAGTGGTTGGTCACTATAAACATGATCACTACAAGCGGTTTCCACTGTATTAATGATATTTTCACAGACATAATTTTTGCCCACAATTCGATAAGCAGATTAGTAGTATTCCTAAAATATTATCAAGATACATATTATGATGCCCAAAAGTTAGTCATCTGTATAAATTTGGCGTACTGTATCTTTTTGCTTATTAAGTTCCGTTAGCAGAGCACCACATGCTACTGTTTTGGTAAATCATGGAAGCAATAAGTACTAATATCGCAGTGAAGAAAGGGACAGCTTAGCAACTACAACATCTTTTAAAAGATGAGATATTGTCGTTAAACTAGATAAAAAGACATTGGTGGGGTGGCGGTACTCTTTGCTGATTAAAGTCCGGCACATTTTGGTAAATATAGTTTGCATTTTTATTTCAGTGAAAATTTTTTATTAGTTTCCATTTTCCTTTCAGTTTTATTTTATCGTAATAGCACTGGCCCCAGCAAGCCCGACGCCCATGAACACACACACTGGTACCATAAATCATTATAGAATATGCCCAGATTTTAGCCTTAACGTTTTCCCAATTTTCCCAATAACACTTATTTCTATAGATAATTCTGCGCTAGCAGGCAGACAGCTTTATGGCTTTAATAATGAGTGTATTTAGCAACTACAAGGGCAAAAGTTCTCCATACTAATGACAACATGTACAGTAGTTTTGCCTTTTCCATCATCCAGAACAGTGCCTGTGTGTTTTCTGTTCAGGCGCTCGTGCACAGTGCCAGGGAATACCATCGAAACTTTGCAGTGAAAAACCAGCTTTTTGTTTAGTGATGGATTGAACTATTCCCCTAATTACATAGTGATATTAAAGGAAAACATTTGTTATAATGAATTAAAGTGTTTTATAAATCATAACGGTAATTCCACTAA